AACTACATCCGAACTCCATTCGGAATATAGTTGGTACTATCTCTTTGTTCCACACATACGACCGACCTCTGTCCTTAGACACCTTCAGCTTGATCTGTGCAATCAAGCGGAACTCTGCTTGTCTGCGCGGGGACGTCAGACAAAGCTACTATATCTCACTTCAACCTGGTTTCAAAATCCTGTTTGGCTGCCCGACAAGGTTCCCTCCTGGAAAAGGAGGTATTTCATTGTCCGAAATCCTGAAGGGTGGTCTTTTCCAACCCTTTGGAGGGTAGCTATCAAGGATCCCAAGGTGAGCTTGGATGCAGAAACTAGGGCAGTCATCAACTCGTGGAGGGACCTCGGCCTTGAGATGAAGGATTTCTTGGCCGAGGAGAAGCTTGTGCGAGCTTGGCTGAGCCCTCCTGGTAGGTTTTCACCTTGGTTCTTTATTTTAAAGTTCTTTTTAATTTGCGGCTAACCTTTTGTTCTTGCAATTGCCATGCCGCAGGATGATGCTGAGAACCTTCTCAAGAGTTCTCAGAGAGGGAAGAAAATGAAGGCCTCGAAGAGGCTTCGCCAGGAGGCCGGTTCTTCAGCCCCTGCCTCATCCGAGGTTCAGGCTGGGGAGCCGATCTCTACCGAGCTCCCTGGGGAGGAGGTTTGTCCTCAACCCCCCATAGTGGACCTGGATGACGACCAAGAGGAGGGTGCTCGGTCTCGCGAACCGGGGAGCACTTCTGCACCTGAGCGGGAAAGTGTCCAACCTCGCCGGTTGGGGAGTACTTCTGCACCGAGACCCAGGCCTTCCAGTGAGAGCATAATGACTCTCAAGCTCGCGATGCGCAAGAGCAGGGACGCCACCTTCCCCGACRAGGTCGCAGAATGGGCTGACATGTCCACAGCCCTGCTTGGAGCCCGAGCTGCCGGTTACTGCATGGTGGTAAGTACCTTATTTTACAGTTTATTTCTGTCAATTGCAAGTGTACTTACTTCGGTTTTGTTTGCTAGGTGAATTCCGTCATTCAATCGCTGATGTGCCAGTCCGAGATCTGTCTGAAGTGGGCTCTGGAAGCCGAAGAAAAGGCACATGAGCTTCACCGCGAACTGGACCTAGCTTGGGGTGAAATACTTTGGGCCAAGAATGGGGCCCGAAGCTAGCAAGAGCTGATTTTGGCCATGACTGAAGAGAAGGAGAAGCAGCAGGAACTAATCTCCACACTGACTGAGGAGAAAACGAAGCAATAGGAGCAGATCTCGACGCTGACCGAGGAGAAGGCGAAGATTTAGCGAGAAAACGAGTCTCTCGAAGCAATGATTCAGGAGCGAACTGAGATCTTCGAGACCGCTATACAAGAGGCGCGAGCTGAGGAAAGAAGCTGTGCTGTTGAACGCTTCAAGGAGTCCTCAGAGTTCCACGATCTCCAGGTCGAGTATGGATCGAGCTCCTACCGTTCCGGGTTCAAGTTGTGCCGGTACTTAGTGCGGCAGAAGTTCCCTGACCTCGATCCTAGAGTCCTTACTATGTCAAACCTTACCCCCGAGGTGGCGAAGGCGGCGAATGAAGAGTCCAGCTCGTCCGAGAAGGAAAGTGATGATGAAGCCGAAGAGGCGGGCCCCTCGGGTCAGGAGGACATGGAGACCAGCTGACAATCCTTGTAAGTGATTCTGGCTCTTTCTCTTTTTTTTGTGTTTTGAATGTATCCCTAGAGGCCACCGAGCTCGGGTTACAACAAAGTCTCTGTACTCACATTTTTTCAATCAATGAAACATAACTTTTTCTGAGCAATCTTTGTTCAAAGTAGGAATTGTATAGGTTACCTGAATTGCCGAGCTACCGAGTTGGACAACTAGTAAGGATAACCAAAGTAAAAATTTGTCCAAGTGTTTGTTACCCTGAACTGTCTACTCGGACTATTAGTAGGGGCAACTTTACGTAAGGCACGCCAAGGTGAGCGCTATTGTAGGGTATATACTCGATCTGTCTACATACGGGCTACTCATTTGAATGTTGGTTCCTTGACGGGCTCGAACTGTGATTGTTGCCAAGGTGGTATAGACATAGTAGGGTTTATACCTGAGTTGTCTATGCCTTAGGCATTAGAAGTAACTTGCCTATGCCAAAGAGGCGACTAGGTCTTAGATGCCCATGCCGAAGAGGCGATTGGAACTTAGCTCGCCCATGCCGAAGAGGCGACTGAGACTTCGGTGCCCATGCCAAAGAGGCGACTGGGACTTAGCTCGCCCATGTCGAAGAGGCGACTGGGACTTAGGTGCCCATGCCGAAGAGGCGACTGGGACTTAGCTCGCCCATGCC